TTTGAAATAATTATTTTTAAGAACTAATAGTAATAATAATAGAAAAATTGTATGAATACCTATATGCAAGTGTTGATCGATCAATTTCAGTATTTTTTCAATACTTAAGCCATTTTCAAGATTGTAATAAAGTTTTGCACAACTTTTCGAAATTTTATTTTCAAAATTTTGATTTGTTTTTTATGGTGTACAGAAGGGAATTTTTTTACATTGTGGAAAAATTTTTTTTTGCTTCGTAACCAAATACCTGCAAAAAGCACACAAATTAGCATTAAAATAGAAAGTGTTACGTTACGATGTACAAATTTCTTCCTAATTGGCGAAATTCCAGAGCCAAGCAACTCTTAATACTACAGCCTGTGGCTGTGGCTATGGAACTTTAAAGAACTATGCTTTGCTACCACGTCATTTCAACTTTTAACGGCACATAACTTTTTTCTTTTTTTTTTTTGGTATGTTGAACAGAGATGGACTAAGCCAATAGATTTATGGCTTATATGTCCAGATAATAAACTGTTGTAATTTTTGGTCACAATTACGTACAAAACGTAACAAAAAAACGAGCGGCCGTAATAACTGGAGCCTGCATGTTAAATGTAATTGTGTGTGTGTGTGTGTGTGTGTGCAATTGTGCTTGTTGAGTTCTTGAAAGTTAAACAGTGTTGCAAACTTTGGCTGAAAACGAAAAGCAATGCTATGGTAATAGAAGATTATTAAACGCAAAAATAAAGAAGAAAAGAAAGAAAAAAAAAAAAAAGGAAAGAAGAGGAAAAACAAAAAATTCTAAAAGGATAAATTAGCTTTTCTAAAAGTTCAAGTTAGTTCCCCGAGATGACGTACATTTTTTGCTGCAAAGAGATCGAGGAGACAGCCATATAACTTGAAGAAGCTAAAGGAATCTCTAATGCCATCAAGCATCTGAAGATTAGATGCTCAGCAGACTCAACAACATTGCAAATTTCACAAACATCACATGGTATAGCGCGAATCATTTTTAAATAAACTTTGTCATAAGTGTGACCACTCATGAGTCTATAAAGAATTTTGATTTCCCAGGAATTAAAGGAAGATACAGAGAAGGGTTTGAATTGAAGTGTGGGATTTAATTTATAGAAAAGACGATTGGATTTAACGCGCGCGATTACTTTAAATTCGTCGTTTAGCTGTTGAAGGATGTGGTTGCGAATTGCCCGAATTGCTTCATTGGGAGTATATTTGATGGACAAAATTGTCCCATCAACACCAGCTCTCCCTGCATGAAAGTCGGCTTTTACATTTAAAAAAAAAGCCGCAGTGGCCAGGTACCCAAACGAGGTGACAATCATCCACTTGAGATTCGTGCAACATCTCGTGAATGTCAAACACATATTGATTTTCTGCATCTCTTTTATTTATTAGAAGTAGAGCAGACCTGCTGTCGGAAAAAATAACAAAAGGTCCGATACCATCGGAAATAGCAACCTTAATAGCATGCCGAATGGCGAGCAACTCAATAAAAGTAGAGGAAAGTTCCTCTTCCACTTTGACTCAGAATATTGTTTCAGATAGATGTTTCACGACCGAGAAGCCAGATACATTATGTCCGACGGAACCGTCAGTGGCATATATATCATATCCGTTGTTGTAATAAAAAAGGAGCTTTTCTTGGCATAACAACCTTATACAAGAGAAGTTGACATTTTGTTTTGAGGTAGAGATTGGTTCGAGAATGTTCATGAAGATTTTGCATTTGCTGGTAATGAAATTCAAGGGGGAATTGAATCTAACTTATCAAAAATATGACGAAGTTTTTGATAGCAAAAAGTATAGTTGCAAGTGACAGTATCACTAAGAGATATGATTTCTTGAAAAAAGGAAGGATTTATGATCCTGACTTTAATTAACTCCTTGGCAGTGCAAAAAAGGGCTCTTTCGGAAACTGGCCATTCACCAGATATAGCATTGATAATATGTTGAGGAGTTGAGGGGGTCAGTCCAGTACAACGCTTTAACATTCGGTTTTCAAATGCTTGTATACGTTTTTCAATATATTTTGGGAAATTGCAACATGTGGAATGTCCAAATTCAATTTTGGACCTGACTAGAGATTTGTAAACGGTCAAAGCATTTTTGGGAGACAAGCCTGCCTGATTGTTTGTCATGAGTTTGATGATATTGCTTCCAGACTGACAATCTTTGAACGCCTTTTCATAATGCCCACGAAAGGTTAAGCTATCAATTAAAATTCTCCCAAGAAATCGAAGAGATTTTACCTGATTAACTTGGGTATCTTTGATAAGAAGTCTGATTTCACGTTTAGAACCTTTGGCAAAATAAATGGTGTTTGTCTTGCTGGCGTTAAAATATAAATTAAGATCAGCGCATGCATCGAAAAACAAGTTCGCTTTCATCGAGAGGTTATTGACAGCTGTTGGAAAAGATGAGTCCGCATAGCTCCTTAAATCATTTAAGTCTTTACCTGGTTGATGGTCTTTATGAATACAGATATTAGTGAAATTGGTCTGAAGCTCCTTAAATCATTTAAGTCTTTACCTGGCTTGGGAATGGGAACTATTTTGATGCAACGCAAATCAGAGGGTATAAAGTTGGTGGACCAGCAGTTGTTAATTGCATGCAAAAGCATGCTAAAGCTTCCTCCAGACAGTGCTGTGAGCATGTCATACTTGACTCCATCACAACCTGCAGCAGTAGCTCTCTTTCTGGAATGTAAAACATACATTAGCTCATGCAATGAAAAGGGTGTGTTACTGATACTACCAAAAGGAATTGAAGGTATTGTAATCGGATTGACACTCGGAATGTAGCTCTTAAGCATATCCAGGTATTTTTTATTATCATGGTCATTCCATACAGCACAACCGCTTAATTTTCGACTGGAATGCCGACGACCATTGATATAATTCCAGAAGGAACGTGGGTTGCCGTTACCACATAACTCTTTAATAGCGATGGCTCTATGTGCCCTTTTCGCCTTTCTAACTGCAGACCTCCATTCTTTCAGTATTTTCATATATTCAAT